GGCCGCGTCCGGACATCTGTCCATGTGTGCTGATGCTGCTGGGGCTGGTTGGTTGAGCATGGGGAGGGCTCGGGGGCGTTTGTGCTCAAAGCTTTTGCCTCTTTCCAGATCCCACCTTTGGGTGCCTCACCTGGGTCCAGCCTCGGGCACATGGGACAAGTGGAGGATGGATGCGGCCATGCAGCGCTTTCCAGCAAGGCAGAGGTGCGTGGGAGGGAGAGCCAGCCTGGGGAGGGTGGCACAGCGAACAGTGTGCTGGTGTCTCTGCATTGATGGGACATTGTCCCAGGGTAGCAGTGGCCATTTGGGGAGGGGGTGCAGAGCTTGCCCGCTGTGCTCCCCCCCGGGGGTGTTTGGGTGGGTTTTTAATGGCTTGGTTTGTTTAAAGCAGAGAGAAACAGTGCTCCAGGTGTAACTGTGCTTCTTGGAGCAATGCCTGGCTCCTGTGGGGGGTTAGTGAGCGGGGTCGTGCTAAGGTGGCCTGGGGGGCTCTGGCAGCGGGGCAGCAATGGGTGCGCGGGAGCAAGCAGCCCCAGCAAGGCGGACGGATGGGGATATCGAGGCCGGGGCTGCAGTGCGGGGGGAAGGGAGGGGCTGGCATCTGCCTCTAAGCCATCCAAGCAGAAAAACGGCTGGCATCTGCCTCTAAGCCATCCAAGCAGAAAAACGTTGCGCTGCAGTGAGCTACTGGCTGCCATGAACAGGGGGTTCCTGGCACAGCCACGGCCACAGCACGTTGCTGTCGCCTGCCAGCCTGGCATCCCTGGTGGCTCCCTCTCTGCTCCCATCAAATGTTTCTTCCTCGGGGTTGGAGAGAAGATATTTTCCTTTCTTGGAGGCTTGGCACCCAAATTTCTTTCTTGCTTCCACTAAACGCTCAGAAATGCTCAGTTCCTAATGCCTGGGCAGGAAACAGGCTAAAATATCCCTCTTGTGCCGGTTCCTGCAGGGTCGTGTCTCTCTGGGGGCATCCTGGCTCACAGGTTGAAACAGATGTGATGGGGAACCACTGCCCCAGGCTTGTGGCCGAGTCCCCAGCTGAGCATCCCCTCCCCGCACCCTCCCTGAGGCCTCTCCTTTGGCTGCTGCCCCACTTCCAGCCATCCCCGGGGGAAGCCCGGGTGCCCGGGAGGAAGTGCCCATGTTTGGAAGCATGGCCCAAAATAGTGGTGGCCACCGAGGGCGGGGGTCTCGGCGGCATGTCCTTCTGGGGAGCCCGAGAGCAGGGTGGCGAGAAGAAGCCAGAGAAGCAGCCAAATGGCTGTGAATAATGCGCATTCCTCACCGATGACAAACTAACCTAGTTCTGGGTCGGGGCTGCATACCACTCTCCAGCAGTTTATCTAAAACCATGCACTGCAAAAGCCAGCGCTCGGGTCTGTGCAGGGACCTTCTCGGACCCTCTTCGTTTCCCTCGTGTCTCCTTCACTGTGACTTTTCCCTTGTCCTCAACAGCGTGGCGGCTTGCCAGGCTCCCCCTGCCATGCTCCCTCCCCTCTCTCCCATGTGCTTTGCCCTTTGCACACCAGCCCCATCACTTCAAATCGAATGCATGGGGCTGGGGAGGATGCAGGAGGATGCGTGCTCCGAGGTGCTGTCGACCTCCGGGCTTAGCTCATGGGGGTTTGCAGCCAGGGTGCTGGATGCTGCTGCGCTTTGTGCGAGGAAGGCACGTACGTGGGGGCATTGCCATGTGTCCCTGTCTTATCTCCAGCACTGGAGCAGTCCTCTCCCTCCCTGTTTGCTGTTTGCGTGACTCTCTGCTGTGTGTACCACGAGGGGAAGGAATCTGGGCTTGATAAACTTGTTGTAGCTTGTAGGAAGCAACCCCACAAAACTTCCAAAATTGCTTTGCATTTATAAAAAATAATGTGCTGTCGCTGCTCCTGTCTGTGCTCCAGAGATCAGCTGTGCCACCGCGGTGCCTGTGGGCAGGAGTGTCTTGGAGGAGCGAGGGGCCGGGGGTCCATGGGCAGCAGCCAGTGGTGTCTTGGGGGGGTTGCTGCCAGGCGAGGCTGGGAGGGCTCCTGGCAGGGTCCCAGCACGAACCCCCCAGCGCTGCCTTCCACCGCTGGTCCCGGCTGGCAAGTGCTCCTGCGCTTCCAAGCAGCTGCTTGGCCCGTGGCTGCAAGGTGGCTTTTGCTGGGGACCTGCCTTTTCCTAGTGCTGGGGTGGTCCGTCCAAGCCTGGCCTGAGGGCACACAGGAGAAGTCCCCGTGGCTTGTGGCTCAGTTCCCTGCACATCCCGGGGCAGGGTGGAGGGCGCAGGGGGTGCTGGTGGCGGGTGCCAGCCCGGGAGGGTGCTCGGGCACAAGGCTGTGCCTGGGGACACCGGGATAGCAGGGTCTTCTTAAAAACTTTAATATCCCTTCAATTAGGGGGAGGCATTTGCATTTTGCAGGCTTTGGGTGGGAGTGCAGTAAGCAAGGCCAAATCCCCGCCACTGACAAGCGAGAAGAAAGCAGGCTAACGAACCTCACTCATTAGTGAGCATCATTTTGGCCTATTCCATGAAGGAGGCACGGAAAGGGGTACCCAGCCCTCGTCTCGGGAGCTCCAGTCTCTGCCTCCCAGCCCTGCAGGCTCTGGTGCCGTGGTTGAGCACAGGTTATTTAGCACAGCACCTTCTCCTCATGGCTGCTCTGTTTTTACCTCCTCCAGGAAGAAGATCCGGACTCAGAAAACGAGAAGCTGGTGGTGAGAGAACCAGAGGATGAGGATGGTGAGTGCCGAGCAAGCCAGCACCCTGCGGGGAGGGTACAGACGGGTCTGAGGGGCTGAAGCCCAGAGTGCTTGGGGATGGTCTCCTTCCTCTGGGAGATGCAGAGGAAATTCCTACCCCAGCAGCAGCTGCTATTTACTTCCCCAGGTGCCCCTGGGCTGTTTGCCATGGGGTAGCTTTGTGAAGAAGCTGCCCCAAAAGCTCATTGCTCGCATCCAGGACGATCTCCAGGGGCTTTAGTCAGAGCCCCGTTTAACTGATTAGCCAATTAGTTGATTGGAAAATGATTAATTGACTAATTGGGGTGACAACTGCTGCACTTGTAAGAAAATGGAACAGATGGTGCCAAGCAAGAGTGTGTGTCTGAAGAAGACTCTGCTCTCCTGAGCAGTCCTGGAGATGCTGGGATGTCCCCAGGAGCCCCTGCCCGGGGTGGCCATGGGCAGCAGGAGACTTTGGGGCATTTCCTCTTCCCTGCCCCACTTTCTGCTTGCTCTTTTTAAGGCACTGTGTGGCAATCCCCTGGCTCAGGAGGCCTAATGCCACAGAGAATCAAATTTTAATCCTGGTGCTGTACCCGCAAGGTGGGGCCTTTGGAGACAGGGTTCCCAAAAGACACTTACTCCACCCCTTTAGGCTTCCTTGCAGCACTGGTGATCAGGGATGTTACTGTGGGAGACCTGGTTTGAGAAACGATGGACATATCCTGCCAAATGGATGCTCAGTAACGCTGCTCTGCCAGGGTCTGCCTCCTTCGGTTCAGCCCTCTTTCAGGGCTGCTCCAGCAGCGCTGTGCGTCACCCCGAAGTGGCTGGGGCTCGGGAGCAGGTGGAGATGACAGACCCTGGTCATGGGTTGTGGCTACCCCAGCATCCTCCCTAAGCATCTCCTGCAGACAGCCACCGACTCCTCTCCTGAATTATTTACACTATTTCTGAGGTGTTTTAAAGGGACTGGTTAAAGCGATGGCTCAGCTTGATGATGATGAGGTGAGCGGTGTGAGCTGGGAATAACAGTGCTGCCCAGGCTTTGCTGGGGAGAAACCTCGCTCCTTCCTTCACCGTTTCGCCTGTGCATTGCTTGGTCCTGGCCCAACTCAAGCCACCGAGCTGCTGCCCGGCAAGCCCGCGAACAGAGATTCCCCTCGGGCACACGGGGGTGGCACGGGCAGTCTGTCACCAGCCCGGGATGCTGCCATGGTGGCCAAAACCACAAGAGCAGCCTTCTCCCCGCTTCAGGCAGCCAGGCTGGCGGGGAGCTGGCAGGGAGGAGGCAGGTACTTGCTGCGTGCGCAGGGCACGCTGGAGCGAGCCTGTTCGGAGCAGAGGTGCACTCAAGGGGCTGCTTTCACCCTGTGAGCCCAGGGTCACGGCGCTGGCAACGCAAGGGCAGAGAGATGAAAGACAAATGTTTTCTTTAATATGAACTCACAGAAGGTCTGAGTAAGTAGGTCACCTCATATTTCTGTAGCGTTTTCACTGTCCACGTGAAAACCCAGCCTCCCCTTTTCCATGTGTTTCCTGAAGTTTGTTTTCAGTCTGCAAAGAAAGTTCCTGAGCTCAGAAAACATCCAGTGGTTTCCAAAGCTGCACACTGGCTGCTTTTTAACCACAACATGTGGGCAGGGAGATGGGTAGCCTCCTCGCCTCCCTCTTCCCTTATTCTTTTCTGGTGGGGTGGCAATTAAACTGCCCTTTTTGGGACAGGCAAAATCCCAAATCTCAATTTACTTGGCAGAAAACCATGTGAGGGAAATGTTCTTAATTGTCCTTGAAATCAGGCAATCTATACAAAGGTAATGAAATGGCTCCTGCTCTGATTCAGGGTAAGAAACAGGATGTTACACCCTTTTTCCCTTTTTTTTTTTTTTTTTTTTTTTTCTTCCTTAATATCTCCCAAAGCAGCAGCCAGCTGAATTTTCTTTCCGTGCACTTTTACAGCTACCTGAAGGGCTGATAAGCTGCAACATTACTGCTTGTTTCCAGCTGGCCAGACTTGTTTGTCTGCCGATTC